CTACATTCTAGGATACCATCCACATGGAATTATGTGCGCTGGAGCTTGGGCTAACTTTGCTACCGAGGCCACTGGTTTTAGTGATCTCTTTCCCGGGATTAAGTCTCATCTTCTAACTCTAAAATGTAAGTGACATGTTTCTCTTTTTTCATTTTTTTAATTGCTTGCTCTTTTGTTTTACGCGCTTACAATTGCCTATTGTGAATATGCCAACGCATATACGATTGAGATAATTTCATACTGTACAAGTAAACTTTACGAGGCCTCCCTCGTTCACTCTTTCTACATCTTGCGACTTGCGACTGCAAAGTACATGTCATGTACCTATATCCACAGATCACAGTTCTATCGAAAGGTCAACAGCCTATGCAAAGTTTTTCAATTAATAGCGAAGTTTAGAGATAACTCAAGTGTTTGATATGCATGTATATTTAATTAGTCATTGATTTTGCGATGTGCTTCCTTCAAAACATCTTGCTTTTACAACCCTGGCAAATTGTTCTTTTCATGACGTAAATAACACCTCTGAAATTGTATACCGCATCCCAATAAACAGGAAACGAAAGTCGAGCTAAGTCTGCAAGCTAAGCTTTCATCTCTTTATAAAGGCAAATAGCTTTCACTGGTCAACGCAATTTTTCCAGTTTGGTACCTTGCTATGTCAACGAAATACTATATGTTATATTCAAAAGTCAGTTTTTAGGAAAGAGAGTAAATTTTGAAATTTCAAGGTTATCTATCATGGTTGAGAGGGGTTGCATGCACCACCCATGATGCATGAAGTATGTAATGTATCAGTTTACAGTCAACCCTCTCAATGGATCAGGAAGGGATTACCCTGTGAGCAGTGAGAGGAGGCCCTTCCATCCTCTTTAGGGAGGGACCATCAGAAAATTATTGGGGATGGGGGTGGGGAGGGGAAAAATATTCATGACAGGGAAAATTAACTAAAGGAATTGTTAGGGAAAAAATATTTATTCCCCACCCCTGTCATAACTTTTCTAATGGTCCACCCCTTTTCTGAGGAGATCGAAAGGGCCAGGGAAGCTCTGCTGACATTGTGCTACTTTTCAAATGAATCCTCTGGCACGCTGAAGGAAAGATAATTTATTGTTGAATACATTATGCAGATGTTTGCGAGTCATCTTATTCATTCCAGATGTTTGCGAGTCATCTTATTCATTGGATCCATCACTGTTATTTTATTTTTAGTGATGTTTAAGTTTCCCCTTTGGCGTGACTTTATCATGGCTGGAGGTGTGTGCGATGTCTCAAAAGAGAGTATCCGCCACATTGTCACAAAGCAAGGCACCGGTAATGCAGCTGTGATTGTAGTAGGAGGGGCAGCAGAATCTCTTGATGCCCGTCCAGGCTCTTACACTCTGACCCTCAAAAACAGGAAAGGATTTGCAAAGATGGCTCTTCAAACAGGGTGAGGAGAACAAAATAATATTTTCCTTAGTGTTTAGTTTCGATACTTTATCCCTGACAAATTAAATTTAAGAACAAATCTTATTCTTAATACCTTTACTGGATTTCTTGTTCAGAGAACTGTACATTACACATTGAATAAAATTTAAGGATGTTACCTGGAAAGTACAAAAATAACCAGTTCATGTACATTTAAAGTTATTGTAGAATGTTATTAAAAGGGTGCTCTTTACTTTTATCAAAGAACACATACTTGCTTTTACAGCTCTTATTTTCGTAGTCAAAGAGCACCCTCCTGGTGTTTAAGAGGTGTCAGGTTTAAATCCTGTCTGGAGCTCAAAATTTTTTCTTTGTGGTAATTATAACTCCATCTTTTTCCCCTGAGTACCAAACTTTAAATTTGCTGTCTTTCTTTATCATTGTGCAGTTTGTATTTAGTTGTACATGAAAGTAATTTCCCTTTCTATATAAATTCCTTTGTAGGGCATATCTTGTGCCAGTGTTTTCTTTTGGTGAAAATGAATTATTTAACCAAGTCAGTAATCCAAGAGGTTCACGGCTGAGGGCTTTTCAAAACAAGCTGATGAAAATATTATCCTTTGCTCCGCCTTTGTTCTTTGGTAGAGGCATTTTGCCAAGAATTATTGGCATCATGCCGCATAAGAGACCGGTCTGCACTGTAGGTATGTACTACTGAAGTAGCAGTCACAGGCAGATTTAGATGGAAATAATTGTATTAAAAAGTTTATAAGAATTCTCTGTAAAATCTGTGGTGTAGAGACTTTATTGTGGTCGTAGATGCTGTCGATACAAAATCAATAATAGTATTAACAGCTGGCATTAAATCTCCATGCCTCATGATCCTCCTTCTGAAATTTCTGAGTTCTTTATACTGTCAGCCTTCTAGTATGTGACCTCCCCTAAATAACTGCTCCTTCATCATTGAGAGGTGCAACATTCCTTGAATCCCTGATAGTTTTCCTGTGGACAGATTTTCTCCTCTAGGGTAACTTTGTGTCAGCGTGTGAAATTGCTTATTTATTTTGGTTCTCAGATGTGCTTGGTTGACACTGCATTTCTTTTAGTAAAGTTATGTGTGTAGTTGCTAATGTGTGTCACATAATTTGTTACCCTTTAGTTTGTATTTTTGTATTATATTTTCCTCCATTCAGTTACCTTTTAGTTGTTCAGTGAATCTAATGTTTTGATTCCCTTTCAGTTGGCGCTCCAATCCCAGTAAAGAGAGCAGTCACAAATCCCAGTGCTCAACAAGTCAACAGGCTCCACAAGAAATATGTCCAAGGACTTATAAATCTGTTCGAGGAACATAAGCACAGATATGGCTTGGCAAGAAGTGTCAAGCTAAGAATTGTCTAGTTGATTGGTATGGTAAAATTATTGTCAGATTGACTTTAAGAATCAAGATTTATTAGTAAATATTTAAATGCCCTTTTTTGTAAAAATCTGTAAAATTTTTGAGAGAAAAGACTCAAGCAGTAGGTTTTGCTTCAAGTCATTTCAAGCACTGACCAGCTCCTGGTTGTTCCCATATAACAGCTTGTTCAATAATATGAATAAATTCAATAATAAAAATGTTAATATATTGATGAAAGCAGATAGGTGAAATTTAGGTGAAATTCATTTACCAAATTGTTTTTCTTGTGTATGCTTTTCTTTGTGAACATTCAAATGATAGAAAGATTAATGAAAGTAATATATAGTGAATCAATATTCACCTCAATATTTAGAAGATTATTGTGAAGTTCTGAGTTACTGGTTTGGTTTATTGAAAGTGGTTTGCATTAAACAATCTTCAAATGCAAGCTTTGTGCCATTATTTTACTTGTTTCTCTTATCTTTTATTATGATCCCTTAACTTTCAACGTGCCCCTTCGTAGTAGTTTCATAAATGAAAAAAAGGAAACAGACTTTAAACTCTCCTGTGTCCATAATTTTTGCCTGAGTAGGGCAGGGTGACCTCCATGTTGGCCTGGGGTGTAAGGGTGCCTCAAAGGGGAGAAGCCCTGGCCCTGTTTAAATAAAGAAGTCTAAACCAATCAATCAATCAACAACTTTATTTAAGTGTCTAATCTTCTAGCTTGCCGTCAGGCCTACTAATCGGGGACACAACCTTCTACAGTATCTCACTATCTTGTGTAGGACTGAACCCTGTTAGGACAATGAACAAAATACACGCTCTTCCTTTCGTTTAACAAACTAAGGCCCTTTTGAGGACAAGCTCCCTGTCCTGTTCACCACAGAGAGCACAAAATAAACCACACATAGTCCAGGTGTGTCTAGTCTAGTCACTCTCTCCCCAAAGTAGAAACTGAACAAAGCTCTCTTGCCGTTTTTCCTTATTCCGAGTTACTCCTCATTCTTATCCTACACGTATGTAGGATAAAGTCCAGTCAACCCCATAAGAGGAAGGTAGTCGCTTCATTTCCAAAATTAGACTGCGAGCAGTCTCTTATTCTCCTTGGCTAAGTTACTACACGCGAAACCTAAGCACGAGAGCGGCGAGGCCGCTTGTCGCGAGAACCGAGGGCGTAAGCCCAAGAAGAAAAAATGTCTTTTCTCGTCTCGTGTCAGTCCCTAAATAATAACATCGTGGTTTGCAATCGCGCTGGATGAGATAAGAACTGGACGGATTTTAAGAGAAAAGGAGGACCGCAAGCAGTCTATTCCACAATCCTTTTCTTTGACTCCCTGTAAAGAGGTACCACTCCCTCGACACGCCCCCCCAAGATTACCAGTTCGTTCCCAGGTCTTTGTTAAGCCAACAACACGTGCACAGATCACCGCGTTGAAAGATTTTTTCAAAAGTTCACAGACCGGAAGGCCATAGTCTAATATTACCATGTATTTTGACACGGTTTTTGTTCTTTGACCTCTGCGAAATTCTTTGATTTAATTCGTTATAAAGTAAGGATTGCATCGGGACAAGATGCCGCTCGTTGAATTTGCGCCTCTTCGCATACCTCTCCATCGTCGGTTGGAGACAGCAGCAGTTGCGTTGTACTATTACTCGTTCTATTTTGGCGCCCTCATTGGCACTCTTATCATACTGGGATTGTTTTTTACCTCGTACTATCCTCTGGCCATCCTTTACTTGTCATGGGCCTACCTCATCGATGGACGTACACCCGAACACGGAGGACGAAGATCAAACTTTATAAGAAAACTGCGAATATGGAAGTACTTCAGAGATTATTTCCCAATCGCTTTGGTTAAAACATCAGAACTTGAACCAAGCAAGAATTATATATTTGGCTACCATCCCCACGGTGTGTTATGTGCCGGAGCCTTCTGTAATTTCGCCACCGAAGCCACAGATTTTACCAACGTTTTTCCCGGCATTACTCCGCATTTGTTGCCGCTTATGGGTAGGTATAGAAGGCTTCTTTAAAAATCTTATTTTGTCAGTGCAGAGTACATACGCGGTCGAATGCACGAAATCAGTGGAACGTTGAGTGTTTTGTAGCCTGTCACGCAAGTGTCACGTAATATAACACAGAGGGTACTTGATCACGGTGTTTTATTGAACTGAGGAGTGGAAACCTTTTTTAGACACTTTTCCTGCTTGACAGTTTATAGAAATGGTGAGTAATGGGCGGAGAAACTCCATTATAAAAAAGGCATGCTTGTTGGAGAAAAAGAATTAAACCTCTATTAAAAGGAGGCTTATCCGGGCATGACTCAGGCCATACTCCAATGTGAACACCTAAGTTTTGTTTGAAGATATTTCTGTAAAAATATTGGCTTTCCATCCTAAACACCTCAAGTAAGACGAAAATCTGCAATTTCTACCCCAAAGCAAGATGACAAGCATCCCTATCATTTTCACTTAGGGTACCCCCTGTCCCCAGGACCTCTGGGAGGCTTATAACCCGGGGGGGGAACTCCGCATATGAAAGGGGTGGGGGTGCTCGTCGGAAAATTTGAATTAAACCCCTAAAGGAGACCAATCTGGGCGTGGCCCAAGCTTCTTTTGACCCCTGAAAGAGACCATGTTAAAACACAGACAAATGAGAAAACTTGGATTATATGACTGGAGTAAATATAACGCATTAAAAATATACATATCAAATATATATTTTTAAGTTTTTTTCGCGTGCAACCCTAAACGAGATCTTCACGGCTAAATATGATGGCGTTTTGCCCAGAACACGTAAAGTGAGACCGAAATCCGAAATTTACACCCCTAAGCAAGACGACGAGCATCTCACCCCATTTCATATGCGGAGTCCCCCCCCGGGGCTTATAATTTGCAAGATGATTTTCAACTTTGCCAGGTTTGATCGCAAAGCTGATCTTTGTATCCTTTCCACTTTAATTAATTAGCCTTGTTCAAGCCACCCTTATTCCGTGACTATATCATGTGCAGTGGAATGTGCAATGTTACCCGTGAAAGTTGTGAGTACATTCTTACCAAGAAGGGCCCAGGAAATTCAGTGGTTATTGTGGTAGGAGGAGCTGAGGAGGCATTTGATGCCCACCCAGGAACTTATTCCTTGATTCTGAAGCCAAGGAAAGGATTCATAAAACTTGCTTTGAGAACTGGGTGAGTCTGTTAAGAAAAATAAACAATTTTAAGATTTGAACTTAGTGGACAATAATGGGAAAGCTTGCCATCCAAAAATGTCTCACTATGCAGTGGAACCTTGCCATATGATCACCCTGTTTAAATAACCACCTTGTTATATGCATGACGATATTCTTTCAACTAAGAGATAAAAATCACTGAGTCATTTTATTATCCTATAGACCCTGTTAATGTGACCACCTCATTATTACAACCAGGATTTTATGGCCCAACAGTTGTTGCATTAAAAGGGTTCCACTGTACAAAAAATACTACCCCAAACATGAGATAAATGGGGAAAAAAGAGGGCAAGGCCAGTATTCAGCCATCATGACTGAACAAGCTTGGTTAATGAAGGATGATGATGATGATGATGATGATGTAGCCAAAGGAAAACGTTTTCTCCTGGAACAAAGCAGAAAATCCCGAGCAGGTAATTTGGTCGATCAGAACACAGGGTTCTTCCTCCAGCCAGGGTTCTCTGCTCATTCTCATCACAAGGAATGTTTCACAGGAAGAGGGAGAAAGGGAGAGAGTCTTTCCCCGCAAAACATTTCTAGTGGTGAGAAGCAAGGAGAGACAGCTGTATTCACAGGCCATTCCCTCTCTTGCCTGTGCTTTGTACTGTAATTCCTACAGTGTGTTATAGAATCTGAAAAAGTGGTTTAGATGAAGTCTCTGGCTTCAATACCAAAACAAATAATTTACATTAGAAAAGGGTGTAGTGTATGGAGTGTATAATTTGCAGCTAAAAGGTTTAATTATTGTAACTTAGACCCTAACCATACTTTAGCACCTTCCAGTTAGCCTTGAAAAAAGAGCTAACATTGCGATGCAACGACTGGTTTCCCCATGAAATGATGTCTGAGAAATGAGTGCAGAAATTCCATACTGGTGACGTGTTAATACCCAGATCTGGGTACTGCTTCTGATTGGCTGAAGCTTTCAGCCATTCAGAAGCACTCATTTCTCAGATGTTATCTCACAGGGAAACCAGTTGTGGCATTGCAAAATGTTAGCCATTTTTTCAGGCTACCTTCCAATCAGTCGCTCCAATAAGGCCATTATTGCACCTGCAGCTGCAATTTAAACGCAGTATCTACAGTATAAATAAATAATTTTGGAACTCTGTTGTATTTCCAGAGCTTCGTTAGTTCCAGTATTTGCGTTTGGCGAAAATGATGTATTCAACCAAGTCAATAATCCAAGGGGATCATGGTTGCGAGATATTCAGCTGAAAATACAGAAGAAGGTTGCATTTGCCCCGGTTCTTTTCCATGGCCGGGGAATTTTCCAGTACACATTTGGTTTTTTGCCACACAGAAAACCAATAAATGTTGTTGGTAGGTGATACTGTGAAGTAATATTTCCTTAATAGAACAATTTACTGGTAGATAATACTATATTGTTCCTAGATCACAAATCACAGAAGTAATTGCTTGCTTGATCATAATAATTTATACAATATAAGTATCAATTATTTAAGTTTCTGGCAAACTGCCCACCTACCCCTCCCCTAACCCAACTTTTTGCCCTAAGTGAGAAGTAAGTGTTATAAATGTTGACTTAGGGGAGGAGTAGATGGGCAGTTTTCTAGAAACCTATATTGATCCCAACATAATAGCACTTATAAACTGAGAGTGAGGTTATTACAGGGAAATCTCAGACCAAGGCCTTGATATGCGAGGTTAATAAGTTATTTATTATATTCTACAGTAATTCGACCCCAAGCTTTTTCAGTTGCCCAGAATGTTCCAAAATGGCAGCAAAGCATAAATAAACGTTCATTTTCTCATGGAACAGTCTAGTCTGTACCAACAAATTCAAATACCTTTTGGGGGAACCCCCTTTCTTGGACCCCCTTTCTTGAAAAAGAGAGAAAGACCCTCACTGGTCAATTCCTAGAATAAACGCTGCATCCAGCAAGGTGTTTTTGTCCCATATTACTATTTCTCTGCAAATTAATGGGCCCCATTAATGCACTGGGAAGGGATGCTCTTCAGATAGCCTGTGTACAGCCGCCCCTCCCCTCAAAAAAATCGGCTGTACACAGGCTACTCTTCAGAGAATTGGAATGGTACCCTTTAATGAGACAGCTTGTGTGTAAGAGACTGCTTTTAGGGAGTTAATTTTTATAAACGTTCTTATAATCCTCTTATCCTTTGCAGTTGGGGAACCTATTTCAGTAACAAAAGTGGACAACCCAACACCTGAACAATTGGATGACCTTCATGCTACTTACATTGACAGACTCAAAAAGCTTTTTGAAGATCACAAATCGAAGTACTATGTTCCTGAATCAACAGAGCTGGTTATTTACTAATAGCATCAAACCTTTTTTTTGTTGGACAAAAATAACTGTATGTTGGATGTGTTAATGACCAGTACTGTGACAGTGAAGCTCAGGACTGGTTGACTTTGTACTCATTGCAACTACATAAATGTTTTAGAAATATTTTTAGTGTTAATGTTTATGCAAAAAATAATATGTATTTGTTAGCAGATTTACATGTATGAATGGCAATGGGCACTTTTATACAAGATTCTTAACTTGTAAAGTAATAGTATTTAACTGCTAATAAGTTTTATAATCCACTTCCCTTGTGATTTAGATCAAAGAGTAGCTATTTAGTGGTAGATTAACTCCATTTATAAGTTAGAGAAGACAAAATATATTATAAATATTATAAAAAAGTTGTTTTAACATATAATATTTTTCAAGTACAAATTAATGTGATAGCTAATGTCAATTATACCATTAACTTTTACCCCATGATTTGAAAATTTTTTAGTAGACTCCCTGCCAGAAAAGTGACCCCATGTTAATTGCACACATGTAATGCCTCGTAATTAATTTTTATGAATTGAGACAGTATAAAAAGTTTAGTTTTCTCAATTTTACAGCATAAAATTGGAAGCTTTGTTCTGCATGACTAAGCTTTTGCTACATGTAGAAATGACAGTGTTCATTGAAATGTGCATAGTGATCTGTATAATTTATAGATTCTTACACCAATGATCTGAATGATCTGACTGCAGATCAGGCCAGTCTGACTGTTACTACCTAACACTGCCTGTTTCTGTTAATAATACCTTTTCTTTGCATTGACACTCATCCCATATACAACAACTCAGCACAGATCAATATTTATTATTATTATTTTTATTAATTTCATTATTATTATTATTATTACCAGTATTATTATATAATTATTGACTATTGAATGATAAGTTTAGTTTCACTGGGTACGCCATACTTGTTTCGATTATTTTCAAACAATCTTCTTATTTCCATTGAGTACTGAGTATGAAGTTGGTCTATCTGTTCATCACTTGGACTGGTGACTTGCTTTACATGTATTGGTGAACCAACTGAAGACAAAGAAAGAGATATTACCCTGTAAGCCCTAAAGAGTGATCAGCATAAAATTTCTCCTAAGGCTCGTAATATCAATGCTTAAACAAAGCAGTCATGAGAATTGAGGACATGATCACAGAAGTTGAATCTAATAAATGAATACAAATTCTTCCCACTTTTTTTATTGAAAACGTATGAGGACAACGAAGGAGAATTTAAATTTAGTTAAAGGGCTAAGAGCCAAAGGGTTAGATATTAAGAGACTGTTCCCCAGAAAGTTTGAAGTAGAAGGACAAAAACATTTAATGCGTAGACACTTCTTTAATGTCACACAGCTGTTTGTAGGGGTAGTATACGAGGGGGACTACCCCCCTCCCCTTCTTCATTGTGGGACTCTGTGACCCCCTGGGAAATTTCCTGAAAAGTGCATCTCGGGGCATGTTTATAGGAAAGAAATTTTGGCCATGAGGATGACACACTTTATTACCCACATTATTTGACATTTATATCATATGTTTGTTCTACCAAACAAAAGTGTTGGGAAACAAAATAAAATGAAATATGATGAATTTATTGTGTCACACTTCTGTGAGAAGCCAGAGCCTCTGTGTTGACTAGAAGATGATTTTCACCTTTGCTGGTCCTCAGGACTTCTGGAGAAACTAGCTACCTGGGCCACCATAGTAGGAGGGCATTAATGGCGTAACTAGAAATATTACTCTATCCAAAAGAAATATTTGCTTGATTTAAGTCTCCATAAGCATTGTCCAAGTTTCGAATGCACAATAAATGTCATAAACTACTGTTAAAATTAAAAATCTTACCTACAACTGTAATTGGATTGTTATATGGAAGACCTGGAATGTATTTTCCAGAAAATGAAATCACTATTCCTTTGATCATTAGCTTTGACCATTTCTTCAGGAGTGATGTGTTTGAGCCCTTATAACTTTTCAGCCATTCATAGTTGGCAAAAGATGGAATTTTGAAGCTATCATTTTGTCCAAATCCAAACACAGGAACCAGAGATGATCTGTAATGAGCAACAACACGTCATTATTAGAAAAATAGTAAATTATATAATATATTCTCACCCAAAATAGCTACAGACAAAACAAAATGAACCTAAATGCATAAGATATGGGAGAATCGGCCTGGAGCTTTGCAAGTCGGCAGACCAGGACAGAATGCTCCATTGCTGAGGGGAGGAGGGTGGGGCAAGAACTACTAGCTAGGCTACCAAGACCTAAATTTTACTAGAACTGACTGAATAACCATGGAGACTGCTGTTCAAACTGAGGGACAAGGACCGTGGGTATGGTGTGTATTAATTTTCCTGGATCACACTGAGAATGTTAGGAAGTGCATTAGCTGTTAATTTACATAGGCTTTTGTGTGTGTTTTTCTCAGTGAGAATATTACAGGTGTTCCTACATTTTATTATTGCAGATTATTTCATGCACATGCATCGCTTATCGTTATCCCTGTGAAGGGTTTAATCATTGTTTCATCACCCTCTGATCCCCTTCTCAGTACCCCTCTAGAAATCTCAGTTAAAACTCAAACAGTGAAAGTCCTTACAAGTGGAAGTGTGTCCATGGCCACGGGCAGGAGTGTCCACTAATATGGGAATGTAAAAATGCAGAGTTTGTATGGGAGTTCAATAGGTGGCTGTAAGCAAGTAGAGCTCTCTGCCTACAAGAGTGTCTTTAAGAGTCTGGGCTTCCACTACCGTACTTAACTTTTAGGACAAATTAAGCCTTGAAGACTCTTCTAACAAGGATAATTTCTAGAACCAAAACATTAAACACTCTGGAACATGTATCAATGCCCTAGGGGATTTCTTAATTCAAGCAAGTAAAAGGAGTTAATCAATTCACCAATTGAAAATAGATAAAATATGAAATGACTGATAGGAAAGTATGGTGGTCATTATAGTACCCTGTCTCCAAAGCCATCTTGATGAACTGCTTGCGTCTGTTAAGAGTAAGAATGTAATCTCCTAAGCATGAATCCAGCATCTCAGCAGCTCCTCCAGGTACTAATGCAATAGAGTGTCCTGCACCCATCTGGGTTAGTATGTATTTACAACTCTCTGATCCTGCATCAACAAGTCTGAGCCCCATTGCAATCTCACGATATAGTGGTGCTATAAAAAACACTGGATGGATCAAAAAAAGAATGTGATTCTTCTGTGGATTTATTAATAACTTTGCCTTTCTACTGGCTATGTAATCTTTAGTCTGCTACACAGGCAATGCTCCTCCCCACGATGGCTGTGTAGCATATTACGTAATCTTAAGACTAACTTAAAATGTCATTTTATTTCATTTTAACAATGTTGTACTGAAGATACAGGAACTGTTTACATGGAGGAAGAAAGATCCTAGATGGCGGATCCTCCTAGCAGCTGCAAACATTTTCTGTTCAGCTTATATTAAAAAGGAGGCGTGTGTGGCCGAGTGGTTAACACCTCGAACTCTGGATCTGGAGGTCCGGGGTTCAATTAAGCCTCACCCGTCGCGTTGTTTCCTTAGACAAGGAACTTTACTCCACATTGTCCCTCGTCACCCAGGTGTTTAAATTGGTACTGGCGACATACTGCTGGGGGGTAACCCTGCGATGAGCTAGCATCCCATCCAGGGGGGAGTAACAAATACAGTAAAACCCCACATATAATAACCTGGGTTTTAAGAACCTGTTCGGCTAAAATTTTCATTTTAAGTTCCCTCCACATAGGAACTTATTAAGGCTAAAATTTTAAGTTCAGTGGAGTTGCTGTAAAAGTGTATCAACTTTGAGATGGCATTTCAGAGAACTGACCATGAGTTTCTTTGTTATGTTTTGTTACGGACATATACCTGCACTGTACTGCCTTTAGGCGTTATGTTATAAATGATTGTATTATGAGATGATATTTATAATATACTTAAATGAAATTCATATGAAATATATGTGTATAGAGACCAGTCTGGTGAATTTTGTAGGGCTTGAAGGGTTAATGTGGTCGCAGTTTTTAAAAAATATAAAACCTACTGGAATGGCTGCCAATATACGGTGAGATGCCAGGGAACTTTTGCTCAAAACCAAGCTGGTTTGTGCCAAAACTGATCATCAACCCATCGGGCATAAATCCATGAGGATGATAACCAAAAATATAGTTTTTTTCGGGATCGAGGTCAGCTGTTTTCACAAGTGTTATGGGGTAGTAATCTCGCATACATCTGAACGGAAACAGGGCGCCAATGAAATTAATGACAGCGGCTTTTCTTCCACCTTGTCTAGGGGTCCTCCAATCTACGAACACCCACGCCAAATATAACGCCAAAAGAGGCCAAATCTGTGGATTTAGGAGGAGAAGATGCAGAGCTCCGACCCCAAAAACACCAGTTAAGCCCACCAGCACAATTGTGTAATGAAGAAGGACCGCAAAACCTTGGAATAATTTCGCAAAATTCCCTTCTTTCCACATTTTGCTCAGTTATACAAAAATCCCCAGGCATGTTCGACCTCCCCAGGTCTCCCCTTTCCCTCTAGCAACACAGGGTAACCAGGAAAGAACTAACCCCGTTTGGCGGCGCAAATTAGAACATTTGCAAAGCTACATAAACATTCAGCACCAGATTTCATAAGCAAGCCTATCGACCTTATTTTGTTTTATGTATGCCTGTAAGCCTTTCAAGTACAGCTGTAAGAGAAATTATAGGAGATTTTCGTAGCGGAAAATCACAGTCAAACCCGAAGCGAACCCCTCTGCGATCGTGAATCTTCGATGTTTTCGTAGCAATGTCGGGTCTTGCTACTCAAAAAGTTCGTCTTCTTCAAGGATTAAGCGTCCTTGTTTTCTACTGGACTTTAGCCTGTGGTACGTGTTTTGGGTTCGGAGTACTCATAGTTCATGTGGTATTTAATCGTTTGTTTATGATTTGGCCGCTCGGTGTCCTTTACCTGACGTGGGTATATTTTGTTGACCGTAAGACCTTTAGCCGTGGGGGTCGAACAGTGGAGTTCATTAGAAACAACCCGTTGTTTAAGTACATGAGAGATTATTTCCCAATAAGTTTGGTCAAGACCACAGAGCTCGACCCGGCGAGGAACTATATATTTTGTTATCATCCACATGGCGCTCTTTCAGATGGTCTAGCTATTGGCTTTGGATCAGAAGCTTTGCAATTCAGCGAGAAATTTCCAGGAATCGTCCCTCACATTGGAGTGCATTCATGTACGTATGGGTAGCATATTAGACCAGGGGTGGGTTACTCCCATAAATCTCGGAAAGGTCTGTGCCGCCCCTCTCTGATTGTGGGGATGGCGTAAGAAGATGTGAGCAGGAAAAACGGCAAAGGGGTGGGGTAGGGGGTGAGAGCAAGGGAATGCCTGTAGTACTTTATAACAAAAGCTTGTTCAGGTCACCATGCAAAGAAAGTAGTGTCCGATAGCCCAGGGCTAGTGGAATTCGCTATCGGGCTAATGAATTTTTTTTTATCTTGCCCGACGGGTAAGTGATATTTTTTTGAGGAATTTGATGAATAACAGAAGAACTGTGAAATCAATTCTGCTAGTCAAAAAGTTTTTGGGGCTAGTAAATGCTAGCTTCAGCTTGCCCGAATGGCAAGCTGTAAAATTGATTGTTCTTTGCACCCTGGTTCAGATATACCAGATTCCGGTATACCAATTATGATTGGTTTATTTTGACAGCTCTTGTCAACAGTCAAAGGTCCATTACCTTGACTGGAAATGTGATATGACCGCAATGAGCTAGAATTTGTGGTGAATGTGGAACACTTCAAAAATTGGAAAATTCAAAAACTGTTTGTTAGATTTGGTTAAGTTGGTTTTAAAATCGAGGCTTATTAACTGTAAGCTGTGCAAATTCACAGGGAACTATAATGACTGGATTTTGCATCAACCTAATAAATTCAGAATTTTTGGCATGTTTTCAATCATCCATGCTGCCATGGCAATAATCAATTTTTACGTTAACCTAATAATGTATTGTGATGTACTGACACACTTGAGTGGTTTTTTTGCTTCCCGTTCACAGATATGGGTTGGTCTCCAATCTTTCGTGACATTGTAATGGGTCTTGGTATCGTAAGTGTCAGCCATGAAAGCTGCAAGTTTGTACTGACTCAGCAGGGTCCTGGACATTCAGTTGCCATTGTTGTTGGAGGTTCCCCTGAAGTTCTTACCATGTTTCCTGGCTCTTATGTTCTTACTTTGAAAAGACGAAGAGGCTTTATCAAGCTGGCCTTGGAGACTGGGTAACACTTGTCATTTTTGCGATGTGGCATGGGGAGGGCTAATTGAAAGGAATTTGTTCCTGGAGGAACTCTTCCATGCAGGGGCGGGTCTAGGGGGAGGGTGCAGGGGGTGCACACCCCCTTCCCCCTGAGATCACCTGCTGTTTTCTAATACAACTGGTATTCTGCAGAAAAAGAAAAACTATGTGGTTTATTGGTGTTGAAGTAAGGCAAAAGACGAGTGCACCTCCTTCTAAAAAAAATCCTGGATCCGCCCCTGAACACTTCCATGTGAATAAGATGGGATGCCTCGTCTCTTGCTTAGAGGTGTACATCGCAGATTTTGGTCTCACTTAAAGAGTTTAGGACAGTTCACCAAATTTTTTCCCATACTGGTGTCACTTGAGAAAACAAACCAAGCGCTATCAAGTGGTGTTGAGAACAGCATTAAATTAATGCTGTTTTCAACACCAATTGACAGTGCTTTGATGTCAACATCTTTGACACAATGAAAATCACTAAAGCTTGGTTGTCTGATCTGTCTCAGTACAGTCTCCTTTTGGGGTCACATTTTAAATGACTGGGCCACACCCAGATTGGTGTTCTTTTGGGGTGTAATTCTATATTTTCCTAGGAGCATTCCTGTCAAATTCACATGGGAGTTGCCTCCTCTCTGGGGATTCCCCCATTTAAGTGGTCTGTTTACCAGGTCTTCCTAATGCCTAGGGCTTGAAGTTTTGACTGCGAACACATGACTATCACTCAGACTGTATTTATTTAAGAGATGTGTGTGTCTTTGGCAGCAACACATAGGTGATTCTCTAGTAAAAGAAACTTTATCTTTATTAAATTCTACCCCGGTGACTCAACATGGTGATGGGATGAAACAGGACTTGTGTCTGAATTGATATCAACCCCTTCATTACCCACCCAGCAAATGAAAGGTTGTACAACATCATCGGGGTCTACACCCCCTACTCTTTACGAACAGCAGTGTGGGTTCTTTTACGTCTCACAAGAATCAGAACAGTACAAGAGCTTTGAGACGAGGCCTATTTTTTTTGTCCTTATCCAAGAAGACTAGAATGTCTAACCATTTGTAGATGTCACAACAAAGCCAGCACATTCTCTTCAGTTATTTTGAGACCTGAGTGCTGGTCCAGCCAGGGTTTGAACGTGTGACCTCCCGCTCAGTAGACTGGCGCTTATTCAATTGAGTTAACCAGGCAGCATAGATCTTTAATGAAACTTGGTATACTGTTGTAACAAGTCAAAGAGATGATGAAAGCATGATAAAATGAGGGGTCACTGTGATCATTTTCAGAGTACAATGCTGACTCACTGCTGACTCGAATTCAGCTATTTTAATAGTCACCTTAATAATAATCACCTCACACAGCCCAAACTGGACAAATAAGTCAGGCACGATTTTTCCATGATGCCTTTGATATCGCAAAGATCTTAACTTTGTTCTTTGTCCACCCATTTACCAGAAAACGCCTTTGAATACCTTTCTTACTACTTTATTCTTCAAAGTAGACTAAACTTGAATATGCACTGTTCAACTTGTTACAGCTCAATACCTTAGCCATTCAGTCCTTTGAACTGGTGATAACTAAGAAACTACTTCTTTGATATATTTAAGGTCCCCCTTGGTTCCAGTATTTGGATTTGGGCAAAACGACCTGTTTAATATTAAACAGCCTAAAATCGACTTCCTACTGACTTACAAACCTGGACGTAGCAAGTGGGAGAAGTGGTTTAAAATTTTCTTGAAGTGTGCCACGCTGGTAATGTGTGGGCGTTTTGGAGTCATGCCCTATCCACATCCTATTGCTGTTGTGGGTAAGTTCCAAATAATATTGAAGTTAGAATCAGTGTCAGATCCAGGGGAGGGGCCCGGGGGGCTCAGCCCCCCTTATTTTTCGACCAAAATGAGGCCCAAAGGGCCGAAAAATTTTTTTTGGAGACCGCCCCCCCCCCCCTTATCTCAGGGTGTAGATGACAGCCCCCCCTTATCTGAAGGTCTGGATCTGCCACTGAACTTGCCCCATGTTTATGGTACATACACAGCTAGAGAGAGATTAGAGACCCTTAAAAGGTCGAGGTTTGGCCATTGTATAGACTTTCTCAAAGTCCTTCGCTTCTCACCCGTTTGCCTATACTGGTTTGGGACTTGAGATTCGCAGGGGGTGTTTTTTTTTAATTAATCAGCAAAAGAGTTCTTAAAAGTAGTATTTCTTCTCAAACCTGAGATTGTGATGTTTTGGGGTGCAAAAACCCTTGCTGTAAATCAGTTACCTCTAGAGAGAGGTCTGGCCATACAGAAGCGAACCTCGAACCGCAAACCCGACGGCAAGGCCTTGGTCACGAGACCTCTTGACGTTGGCGGTTTGCTGGAAATGCCGAAAAACCTCGATCTCAAGCTACGGTAAAACGGGCAGCAAAAACGCGCAACTTGTTTTGCAATTTCCTGCAAAACGAGGGGCGGGTGATTTTGAAAAAAAATTCCTGAAAGCACTTGTCAGAAGAAAAAAATTGCATTCAGCACAAATGTAATAGAAAGCTTAGAGGGAAATAGGGAAAAAAATATCCTGCCCACAAGATTGCTAGAAAAAAAAATTCTTGATGACCAGAAATCACCCACCTCACCACCCCCCACCCCTCAAGAGTTAAATGGTCGGCCCCTAATACTAAGTTGATAAAACCAATTGTGTTTTGTTCCACTCAGCCATAGACGCTGTGACACAATTTGTTTAAAAACTTCCTCCCTACTTTGTACTTTCTTAATCCCAGGTATCTAACAGGTACCATCCTCTTCGTACAAAACTAAGTACTGAGTGCAAAAAAAAATATGTAAAATAGGTCTAAGCTAACAATAGAATATGTCTGAACCTGATAAAAAGCCGCCTGAAAGCAGTATAAATCTGTAAACAGAGACCTGGAACTTTTCATACCAAGCAACAGCACACGAAGCACTATTTAATGTGTAAAAATGACCGTGGTGTGGTTGTTGGGGGGAGGGGGGGGGG